ACGCCGCTGTCCTCCCGCAGAGTCCGCCCCAGATCACCAGTCCGCTCCTGGAGCACAGCCTGTGCTTCACACCCACCCGGGCCCCGAGGGCGTTCATCTCCCCCATGACGACTCCCACAAGGCGGCCTGAAGCCACGTCGCGGAAGCCGCGCTCGCCGAAGCCTCAGCCCCTTCCTTTCCCTATTGCGGCGACGGCGGCAGGGGTGAATTCGCCCCGGCCTGGTATGTATCGCGGCAGGCTGGTGAAGTCCCCCCAAAAGGCTCAGCGGCCCCCTTTGACTTCGAAAAGCTCCTCGTACACGCGGGACGCAGATGGGAGGGCAGTGCAGGCGGCCATTAAGGTTAAGGGTATCGTTGAGCGGAGCTGGGGTGCACGCGATTTAGGCGATGAGGGTGTAAGGACCTTGAGCCCCACTGGTTTCGGGAGGGAGACGGCGGGTTGAACTCATTTTATTTACTTCATCTTGGTCGTGACTATGGACTTTACGTGTAAACTGCTTTGCTGGGCATTTCTTTTCAGGGATTCCGTCTGGATTTTTGGACCCTTCATTCTTAATTCTTGTCGGGATAGAGATCAAGTACATTATGATCTTCAGTTATTTGTTATATATGCTTGGTACTATAATGCAGTCCACGTGAAGAAGTATGTACAAGTTGCTCGCAGACCGTCACTGCTGGAAACAGTGCAGAGGCCTGTCCCTGCCTGAATTTTAGCGATCAGACTCACAGGTCGTCAACAACACCAACAATCATCATACCTCTTTCTTCAGTTCCTCGTTCCTCATTTATTAAGTCCAAGGACATCGCAAGATGGGTATGGAGTGCTCTTCCTGCCAGGGCCTACAAGATCTTCCGCCGGAACTATGGTCGCTAGTAGCGCAGTATCTCGGAGAAGAAGACACAGAGAAGATGATAGGCTTCACTCGCTATTTCTACCAGCTGGAAATAAAACGACGACACAGATAAGTCAGCTTGCTTCACATGGATCCAAGCCGTTTCATGCGAAAGATAGACGCACTGCAGTATGTGTTGAACCCTTCCCGACGCTAGCTTTTTTCACCCTTAAAACCACATATTCTTAGATCACCTTTTGCAGCAGACCATGTTCTGACAGTAGCCTTAAATGTTTGGCCAGACGCTACCTGGCGTACCATAGAAGGCCTTCCATTCACCCTGGAGCCGGTTCAAAATCGATGGACGCTATATACAGCAGTGTCCGAAGCAGTGTCACAAATTCAGAACGATATATCACGAGAGGAGCGCCGACCCGCGGTGGTGAATACTGCGATGAAGCTCATAAATGTTCGACATCTGAGTATCTACTGGCTGCCTGTCCAAGCAACGTCTCATCACCCCATCTGTCCACTCCTTGCTGCATTTATACCCTCCTCTCTTCATCAGTTGCGCACTCTCCCTATACATACCTTCCAAACTCGTCGATTCGTTTCTTCCGTCGCCGGCCAACTTCACCAACCTGGAAGAGCTCAATATCAAATTCATCGCCAACCACGCCGCCCAGGATTCCTATCAGGTCTTCCCAGCATTGAGTAGCTTATACCCCCTTGCTGTGTTCATAAATGGCATATCTGGAACTTTGAATGTCCTTCATATCGAGACATACGGCCAAGTCCAGATGTAGTCGTTCTACGATGCCATGGAAGAAACCCCTAACCTCCACGCACTTCATCTCCTGGTCCCCTTCAACTCTTGTCGTATACCGCATTGTCGTAGCCCCTCCATCAAGTTCTTATCCTTAATGGTCAAACATATTACCTCGTCTCTGTTCGAATCACTGGCCATACATTTTCTGAATCTGGATGGAATCCGCCTGGAACTCGACACGTTTCCAGATTCCATATGAATCTTTTTATGGTAAGCCTTGATAGGATGATCTAGGCAGTGACGACTGATAACACACTTGATCACAGCTTCGCGTGGACATGGAAGACCACAGAATCCAGGAAGTAATTGCTGCTTTGTGATCCTTCGGGACATCGAGATATAGCGCAGATGTCAAAAGATGTACGGAAACACTGGCAGTGGGAGATGATGGAAATCGTCGCAGAGAATCTTCCTGCCATTACGAGCTTTGTTCGCCAAGGGCACATGTGCAAAAGCACCGAGCATAACGTGTAGTTTGGGGACACTTTGCGCTCTCGAGATACCATTCCAAGCCGTGATTTCATCCGGGGGCCCCACTGAACTGCTGGGTCTTCTTCAATCACGTTGCCCACCACCTCCAAGCCGACATCTCCATCGTCGTCAAACCAGTTTCTGGACGACAACATCTATACCGCCAAATTAATCTTCTGCGCGTGCTACGTTCGACTGAAAACGTTCTCTATAGGCCTCAAAAACTTCTTCCTCTCCCTTAAGGATATCCAATCTGAGATTCTTCCACGTCCTTCACTGACAATTGCAGAAATACGATGATTTAGCAGGCTGGTTCGAACACCGCCCGTTTTCCATTGTCTGCTTCAATAAGCACATCCCTCCATCTGAGGATCGCCGTCGTTAACACTGTCTTCCCTTTCGACAACACATTTCTCACATACACACGCAGGTTGCGCACGGGTCAATGATTTCGCTGCTTCCTCGGTCAACCACTAACACATGCACACCTCTCAGCCGACCTTAGGACTGTCAATCCCAAGCTGGACCTTCTCACAGTGTATAAACCTGGAGGAGCTCATCAACGAATATCCGCCTTTCTTTCCACGAGGACTTTCCCCAGAACCCGGCAAGCCCTTCCCTTCGGAACCCTCCGTGGAATGCCAGGGACTAACTGCGGATCCAGTAGCATTCAGGTGCCTAGCGACGACGCTCTAACTTATGGCACAGCCTCCCCACAGATAAAGGCTGGCACCTATAGAGCGATCAACGAGCTGCCCATTGCTTCCACCGTGCTTCCACCTTGCATTGAGAACCAATGATAGCCTACCGTCGCCCGTCGCGGCATCTTCCCAAATTGCCACCAGAATTTATGGGTGCTCGTCGCGGAATATCTCGACAAAGGGAACATACGAACGGCAATAGGTCTCAACCAGGTATTTTTCACCATAAACCAATACCGTGGAATCAACTTTGCGCGGTTGAATCCATCCCAGTTTATGAAGAAAATTGAAACGGCTGCGCAAGTCACAGTTATTAACACCATTGTTTTTGCAACGTGCGCGCACCGTTAAAAAACCCCACAGCTGTTGGATCTTCTCTCCAGCAAATGCCGCCATCTAAACAATCCTGTTCTGTATGTCTATCACAGGAGCATATCCTCTGACGATGACTTCATAGAGACCCGGTAAGTTTCTCAAACTATGATGGCTCAGACGGAAACAGGCTGAATTTACCGCCACGATGATGGCTGACGAAAACCCCCATTTTGGTCTATGGCAGGTGGTACGGATGCGGATGCGATATCTCCCTTGGGAGATGTAGTAGGAGGTCATGCAAGTCATCACTCGCGTCGTCCCTTCATCACGAGTTTTGCGGGTCGTGGGCACACGCATATTCCGAATCCGCTGCCTGCCACTTTGATATGGTACACGCCATAATATAACTCGACGTGGACTTTCAATGTAAATTGTACACCGATGAGAAGATTCCATTGATTCGAACCCAAGAGAAAGTAGGAGGAAGCACGATTACCATGGTAATTGCAGCGGGGTCGGCAAGTTCTTCCCCAAAACACGTTCGGCCTCACCAATATCTCTGTACATGAGGTGGGGTCAGTGATTAACTAAGGGTGAAATTCCATTTTACATACCTTGGCCCACGCGGAGCCCAAAATGTTCCAGTATGCTCGTGTGTCAGTGTCGAAATGAAGTCTAGGGTTGACCTAGCGGCCACAGCGGGCTCGACAGCTTCAAACGCCAAGAAATTAGATAACTCACGTCCTGTCATGAGCAGAAAGACTTACCTCCTCCCGATTCGTAGTATTGGTCGTATCCAACACCCTTGGTCATGTCTGTTTTCATGAATCCAGGCTACTCATCCATATTCAACTCAATTGGATAAAGTCTAGCAAACTGTTAGACCAGATCCTCACATGTATCATAGTCACCGTGATTCCCTTGTCGTAGAAATCATTCGCAAGGAGCTTCCCGACCATGTTTGCTGCGGCTTTGCTGCCATGATGGCCATAATTTCCGCCACCTTCCTCCTTGGTGCGCAACGTAATCGAGCCACCCTCCGTCGTGATGAGGATGAATTTGGACGGCGAGGCGAGGAGGTCGGTACGGTACCTAGAGGAAACGCGTCCCAATTTGGTCGATGGCGATATTTAGAGCACCAAATACTTACAGATGATGGGCGAGAAAGACCGGGGCGATAGAGACGACCTTATACATCTCGACTTCGTCTGAAAAATTAGGCTGGTCTAGCGTCTGAAAGATTTGGCGTGCTCAGTTCATGGACTTCACGTACGAACATGCTCCTCGTCGTACCTCTTTCTTGAACACCCCAGCGTTGACGATGACCAAGTCAAGGGTGGTATCCCCAAGGGCCACAGCAATCTTTGTTCCCGCGTCTTCTTTCGCGATGTCGACTGGGCTGATACGTTGCACGTCAGTTGGGAGAGGGGAGTCACTCGAGCGAGTGGTTCCAAAGGTCCGATAACCGTCTGCCTGAAGAGCCTTTGTGAGTTCATATCCGAGACCACGGGAAGCACCGATGACAAGCGCTGTGGGCATGTTCAGTACTGAAGTGTATGGTTTCTAGCTATAGACTTTCAATTGGCTTTCAATGAGGAGTCGAGATATCAAAGTGATCACAACCACCAGCATCTGCCATCGGGCCTCTAATAGACCCCGGCAACGTGAGATCTCACAAATACGCCGTTAGTTGGAGTGTGATACCTTCCGCCATCGGTCTCATTCTCTCGAGCCAGACAGGAAATCAAGTAGACTAAGTAACCACGAAGGATTGGTTTATGAACATTGAATGGTATTGTAATACTCCTGTCAGCAGGAAAAAATATATAAAGATCAATAAGAAATACAAAACTCTCTGCCTGGGAGTCGAACCCAGCTTTCGCGCGGATTATGTATACTGAGACGATCCGACATATGACAGGCGCGTGTACTAACCGATATACTAGCAAAGATGTTGTTACATTAGCTTCGTTAGGGTTATTTATGTTCAATGTTCAAACAAACAGACGAGACGAACAGGAAATGTACTTACTGGGAAGTAAAACGAATAAGCCTCTCTTACGTCTCGGCACCTGGGAATCGACTCTAGCTCTTCCGCATATCGTGAAAGAGATCCGTCATATGCAATACACAATACTTAAACTAGCAGATATTGTGGGTCGACCTCTGGGGGCCCTTGGGGTATGAGGGATGACATATGTAGTAAATATGTTCTTACAAGTTCTGCGGTCAGAGCAAATTCTTTCAAAGATTAACACTACAAACCTCATCTCACACGCGTATGGGCTGATATTCCTCACTCCATATTTCACAACCACCAGGATCTGCCATCAGGCCCCTAACGTGAGATCCCACAAATACGCCGCTATTGGAGCTTTCACGCATCAACGGCACCTCTTGTCTCAAGGTAATGTCATTCTGAACTTTGGGTTCATGTGCATTAGTGCTGATGGCGGTCTCAACGAGCTCCAGAGACTATATTCCATCGATGCAGATAATGATTGAGAAGGTGACAGAGGGTTACAGCGTAGTACAGGCAATATTGGCAGTAAAGTCGGGACCTGGGTTTATTTGGTTTCCTTTGGAATTATTGGACACTCAAATGAGGAGATATGCCATGAAGGAAGTGGAGGGAGCAAGAAACAGAGAAAAGAGTTTTCAATGAGGGGTTAGTACAATCACATGATAATGGCATGATACCCAATAAAGCCATGTGTACCGACGCGACGCATTCCACTGCGGATCTTCTATCTGGCTTTCACTCCCCTGAGTCAGAGCAATCACCAGAGAAGTCACGCAGACTGAGAATACGCCACTGTGAAACTGATAAAAGCTAGACCGTTTGACTGCCACAGTCGGTGGGCTTGCTGCATTCCACATTGCGTTTAAATTGAAGACCACCACTGCATGTTCCTTAACGAAGGCAGATCCACATAACATCTGCTAGTATAGTTCTAGTTCTAGTATATCACGTACTACAAGCATCATCATGAATTTGTGGAGTTAAGAAGAAGTCTTTTTCACAAAGTTAATAGGAGTAGGAAGTGAAGTACATGTGATACTCATTCTGAGTGTCATTTAAAAGGAGGAAACATCTCATTCTTATTCCTGTACTCAAACCATCACATATACTGAGCTACCTACTCCTCAAAAACTTTACATCTTCTAAGATCAGCAACCTCACCAACCATTTGTGATCTATAACAACATTTCGTGGACCTCTACAATCTCCCTCCTATAAGTCTATGAGCAAAAGGGGTGATAGCAGCGCCGAACGCAGTCAGACACAACCTGATAATGAGACGACCTCTTCACCCTCCGTATCGGTCCCATTGTTCTTTGGACCCGGGTTTGGAACCACGAGAGAGCATCTTGCACAAAGTGGGAGACAACCATATCGACCCCTTAATCAACCACGTCCTGCTCCTACACCGGTTAACCAAGAGAGGGTCGTCCTTGAGGAAGTTGAATCAGTTACAACGTCGTTTGAGAAGGAAGAAATTACAAAGCCAGAGACAGTCTGTAAAATAATTGCTCTCACAAATAAGCTTGGAACCGCTCAATCTGTCAGAGACGATGCCCTCGTCGACTTCCTCGGAACCCTTGATGAAATTGAAGCGAGAATCACAGAGCTCAAATCATGAGCACGGATTGTCAAAGAAACAACAAGTGGAGGAGATGGAGACCAGACCGAGCTTGCTTGACCGGATAGACATGGATGAGGGGGTTCTGGTCGTTCCATATCAAACGAGGGGAAACCCGAGGGGCACAATGATGGATGGAGGATCACCCATAAATGCAAACAAAATGGTAGCTCGTACCCCGGATAGAGTTCCGACGAGGATTCAGTCGACGAGCATGAAAAATTCAATCCAAAAAAACTCCCGTGGTACAACATTGACACAATTACAAAGTCAACCAGAGATCCCCAATGTGCGAAGAATTCAGAGTTGCTTGCCTTCTACCTCAAATATCCTAGAAGGGTCAAACAAGAAGCCTCTTGTTCACCATCCTATCCAGCCAGTTTCCCCAGCACCGAACTTGATAAACTTGTCCGAGGCAAACCAGCCGACTTTAACGCCATCCTATCTGCACACCACCATCTTGGGGCTCCAAAAGAGAACAAAGGCAGCTTTGGGAACTGCACTATTGTCCTTGGAGTTAGCGATCCGGTCAGAAAAGTCAAGAATAGCGGCCATTGGCTCATTGCAGCGACAACGTACCAAAAAGTGCTCTCCATGCTCTTCCCTGACCGCAATGACGAGTTTGGAGACCACGTCAAGTACATTCTTGGACTTTTCACGTCAAAAAGCAATTCCGCACACAGCCGAGTTATCGCTTTTGACCTCGCGGTTAGGTCCAGAGTCGGCAGGGGGACGAGGATGCTCCTCACCGATTGATCCAAATTTACAGATCTCAAACACGTGATCCTTGATGTTGATGGAATCAATTATTTCTACGGAATGAGGAAAGGATCAGCGGGCGGAGACGCCAGTGGCAGTGCCGGCGCTAAACACAAACCAAAATCATCTGCTTCCGTCTGTCGACATTTCAACCTCAACGCCTGTCCCTTCTCATCAGATCTGTGTTACTGGAAACACGTCTGTTCCGCTTGCAGAGGCCAACATAGAAAATTGACGTGTACCGAGGTCAAGGCCTGAGTTACAGGAGGAAGGGGGACCCAAGTATTTGCGATATAATTACTATTTGTATGACGATGTCCCTTCTTTGATGCTTTCAGATTGGTCCAAATTGGCTGACCCACTTCCACAAGCACCTGAGTTGGCACTTAACGATGCCAGGGTTCAAAAGACATTACGTAAAAACCCTGGTCTTTTCAAGGTGACAACCCCAATCAATATAAAGTTTTTAGAAGACAACACAATAACGCACCCCAACCGCCCCTTTGTGGAGTCCATGCTCAAGGGTCTTACTGAAGGCTTCTGGCCATTTGCCACTTACGACGCAGGTTACCCTGATCAAGATTTATTGTTGCCGACACCGTGTTCCTCCCATGAAGCCAAATTTTTACGGACACAGAGGGATATCAAAATTCACGCGGGCCAATTTTCTCATTCTTTTGGATGTAACCTTCTACCTGGAATGACAAGTTCCCCGATACATGCCGTTCCCAAACCAAACTCGTCAGACTATAGACTCGTCACAAACCATTCTGCTGGTGCACCCTCTCTAAACTCCTTGATACCATGAGATGCCATATCAGGAGTTCCAATGGATAATATGCGGCATTTTGGGGAGTTACTCCTTTCGATTCGAGAAGGCTCCGACCGACCTCTGACCCTTTGGAAATCCGACGTCACGAGCACGTATCGGCTGTGCGCAATGCACCCTGCATGGCAACTACGTCAAATTATTACTGTCGATGGTGAAAGATACATTGACAGGTGTAACTGTTTTGGTAACCATGCATCCTTCATCATATGGGGCTCCGTCATGAGTTTAATTATGTGGATTGCGGAGCATAACTTTGGCATTTTTGAACCATGCTGTTTTAACAATGACGTGTATGGAGTGGGAGACGACGGCAACCTAGTTTTCTATGCTCCTTACAGAAAGACTATGTCGCGTAATCAGGTCAAACTTCTTTCCTTGTGGGACGACATTGGGGTTCCCCACAAAGAAAGTAAGCAAATTCACGGTTCTCCGCTCACTATTATTGGCATTCTAGTCGATCCAAATGAGATGTCCATGACAATGCCTGCTGAGAAGATCAAGGAATGGATCGCAGAATTGTGCCAGTTCTGCAAGCAAAAAAATTCCATGTATTACTCGAGGTGTCAATGGCAAGCTTTGGCCAGTTGGTGCAATTGGGGATTTAATACATTTCCCCTCGTTGCCCCATGCCTTTCAAACATCTATGCCCAACTTGCCGAGACTCCTGACAATCCCAACCACAGAATTTGGGCAACAAGAGAGATCCGTGAGGACTTGCGATGGGCTATCTGCGCTATAGAAGCTTCACCTCCCATTTGACTACTCGAGGCCACGTCGTGGGACGAGTTTGACGCAGACTCCATCATCGAGACTGATGCATCCCTTACCGGTCTCGGAATATGGTTCCCCTACGCAAAGAGGGCATATTCTTGCGTCTTGCTGACTGACGTCCCCAACAACCTTATCTTCTACCTTGAGGCTCTTGCCGTCGCAAGTGCTTTTCTAATGGCAACTGAGGGATCTTCTGTACCAATGAAGATAATGATTTTCTGCGACAACACCAATGCCGTCAACATCTTCCATTCCTTTCACGCCATGCCCCTGTACAATCCTCTCTTAAAGATTGTCGCAGAGAGAATGTTGTCGGGTCAACACAAACTCAAAGTCAGATGGATACAGGGTGCCAATAATACTGTCGCTGATCTGGTTTCCCGTGGACATTTCCACGATGCAAAGATTGCATTCCCCTCGATGTCGATCAAAGATTTTCTACCCCCTCTTGATGTGCTGGGGGCATCAATA